TTAAATAAATCATTCTCTCTACTATTATTCTGACATTTCACATTCTTAAAATAAAGTGGTGATCCTACCTGACTTAAGACAGGGAAGTTTTACTAGGATTAAGTGTCAGAAATTGTGAAAAACTGAGTTTAAATGTATTTGGCTAAGGTGTATGTAAACTTCCGACTTCAACTGTGTGTACGTATATACAGTGGGGAGAACAAGTATTTGATACACTGCCGATTTTGCAGGTTTTCCTACTTACAAAGCATGTAGAGGTCTGTAATTTTTGTCATAGGTACACTTCAACTGTGAGAGACGGAATCTAAAACAAAAATCCAGAAAATCACATTGTATAATTTTTAAGTAATTAATTTGCATTTTATTGCATGACATAAGTATTTGATCACCTACCAACCAGTAAGAATTCCGGCTGTCACAGACCTGTTCGTTTTTCTTTAAGAAGCCCTCCTGTTCTCCACTCATTACCTGTATTAACTGCACCTGTTTGAACTCGTTACCTGTATAAAAGACACCTGTCCACACACTCAATCAAACAGACTCCAACCTCTCCACAATGGCCAAGACCAAAGAGCTGTGTAAGGACATCAGGGATACAATTGTAGACCTGCACAAGGCTGGGATGGGCTACAGGACAATAGGCAAGCAGCTTGGTGAGAAGGCAACAACTGTTGGCGCAATTATTAGAAAATGGAAGAAGTTCAAGATGATGTTCAATCACCCTCGGTCTGGGGCTCCATGCAAGATCTCACCTCGTGGGGCATCAGTGATCATGAGGAAGGTGAGGGATCAGCCCAGAACTACACGGCAGGACCTGGTCAATGACCTGAACAGAGCTGGGACCACAGTCTCAAAGAAAACCATTAGTAACACACTACGCCGTCATGGATTAAATCCTGCAGCGCACGCAAGGTCCCCCTGCTCAAGCCAGCGCATGTCCAGGCCCGTCTGAAGTTTGCCAATGACCATCTGGATGATCCAGAGGAGGAATGGGAGAAGGTCATGTGGTCTGATGAGACAAAAATATAGCTTTTTGGTCTGAACTCCACTCGCCGTGTTTGGAGGAAGAAGAAGGATGAGTACAACCCCAAGAACACCATCCCAACTGTGAAGCATGGAGGTGGAAACATCATTCTTTGGGGATGCTTTTCTGCAAAGGGGACAGGACGACTGCACCGTATTGAGGGGAGGATGGATGGGGCCATGTATCGCGTGATCATGGCAACTAAGCAGTGGCTCCGTAAGAAGCATCTCAAGGTCCTGGAGTGGCCCTAGCCAGTCTCCAAACCTGAACCCAATAGAAAAACTTTGGAGGGAGCTGAAAGTCTGTATTGCCCAGCGACAGCCCCGAAACCTGAAGGATCTGGAGAAGGTCTGTATGGAGGAGTGGGCCAAAATCCCTGCTGCAGTGTGTGCAAACCTGGTCAAGACCTACAGGAAACGTATGATCTCTGTAATTGCAAACAAAGGTTTCTGTACCAAATATTAAGTTCTGCTTTTCTGATGTATCAAATACTTATGTCATGCAATAAAATGCAAATTAATTACTTAAAAATCATACAATGTGATTTTCGGGATTTTTGTTTTAGATTCTGTCTCTCACAGTTGAAGTGTACCTATGATAAAATTACAGACCTCTACATGCTTTGTAAGTAGGAAAACCTGCAAAATCGGCAGTGTATCAAATACTTGTTCTCCCCTCTGTGTATATATAAATATATATATAGAAAATACATTGTTATTATTTTTTCAACATAGCAGAACCAATTTTAAACAGTTTTTTCAAACTTAAATGTACTATTTTAATTTAGAAATGAAAAACAAGTGACATGGCCAAAATAATAGCATCCAAGAGCTTACATGCTGACTGGACCGGGCACGCGTGTGCGCGTCCGCGTGCATGTTTATTTTGTCCATCCACACCAGAGGAGATCAGGACACGCAGGTTGAAATATCAAAACAAAATCTAAACCAACTATATTAATTTGGGGACAGGTCGAAACACATGAAACATTCATGGACATTTAGCTAGCTAGCTTGCTGTTGCTAATTCATTTGTCCTAGAATACAAACATTGGGTTGTTATTTTACCTTGAATGCACAAGTTCCTTTTTTTCTGGATCTTTGTAGAATTTTGACCCATTTTGAGTCACAATTCTTTTTGTTCTCTACTCCAACAATTAATCCACATATAAAAAGGGAAAACTAGTTAGTTTCTTGTAATCTATCCTCCTTCAGTCTTCTTCTTCTTTTGTGGATTTTATATGGCGGTTGGCAACTAACTCTAAGGTGCATTACCGCCACCAACTGGACTGGAGTGTGGACCTCAGTTCACCTTAAGATCACCGACGTGGGTATATGCTACTAAAAACCAATGAGGAGATGGGAGATGCGGGACTTGCAGCTCATCAGGCTTCAAAAATAAAACCAAGTTCTATTTTAACGCCTGGCTACGCAGACGCTCGTTGACTCACGCAAGCAGTTTGGATAAATGAGTGAATAACATGTATATGTACATTTATATTGCAATGCTCGCAAACGCAACGCGGGCGGTGTGGTCAGCATGTTATTCTTGGTTGCACAGCCTTTGGCCGAGATAACAACTGGTGACAAATGCTTCTTGTAATCATCTGTCCTGGAGTGGTCTCGGTTGAATCCCATCTGAAACCTATGATAAGATCTGAAAACAGCAGTTGGTGGAGAGCAATCCTAAATCATTGCAGAATTGAAGCAGTTTGCAGCTGAAGAGTGAGCCAACCTTCCAGTAGAAAGGTGCTGCAAGCTCATTGATTGCTACAAGAAGTGTTTGTCAGCAGTTATCTTGGCTGAAGGCTGTGCGAGGTCTTGGGTGATAATAATTTTGTCCATGCCAATTTTGTCCTATTATAAATTAAAATTGTAAATTTAAGTTTCAAAAAACTAAATTGGTTCTGAAATGTTGAAAATCCAATAACAATGTCTGAAGACCAAAAGTAATTTTCAATTTCAACATATTTTAGAAGAAACTGAATTATTTCAGGAAAATGCAAGAGTGCTCATATATTTGGCAGCATTAGTTGTACGTATACTGAACAAAAATATAAACGCAACATGTTAAGTATTGGTGCCATGTTTCATGAGCTGAAATAAAATATCCCAGAAATGTTCAATATGCACAAAAAGCATATTTCTCTCAAATTTCTTGCACAAATTTGTTTACATCCCTGTTAGTGAACATTTCTCCTTTGCCAAGATAATCCATCCACCTAACAGGTCTGGCATATCAAGAAGCTGATTAAACAGCATGATCATTACACAGGTGCACCTTGTGCTGTGGACAATAAAAGGCCACTAAAATGTGCAGTTTTGTCACACAACACAATGCCACAGATGTCTCAAGTTTTGAGGGAGCGTAAAATTGGCATACTGACTGCAGGAATGTCCACCAGAGCTGTTGCCAGAGAATTGAATGTTCATTTCTCTACCATTAGCAATGTCATTTTTAGAGAATTTAGAAACCGTTAGAAACAGTTTCAGGGAAACGTATCTGCATGCGCGTCATCCTCCCCAAGGTCTTGACCTGACTGCAGTTCGGCATCGTAACCGACTTCAGTGGGCAAATGCTCATTTTCAATGGCCACTGGAACATTGGAGAAGTGTGCTCTTCACAGATGTATCCCGGTTTCAACTGTACTGGGCAGATGACGTTGTGTGGGTGAGCGGTTTGCGGTTTGCTGATGTCAACGTTGTGAACAGAATGCCCCATGGTGGCAGTGGGGTTATAGTATGGGCAGGCATAAACTATGGACAACGAACACAATAGCATTTTATTGATGGCAATTTGAATGCACAGAGATACCGTGACGAGATCCTGAGGCCCATTGTCATGCCATTCATCCGCCGCCATCACCTCATGTTTCATCATGATAATACACAGCCCCATGTTGTAGGGATCTGTACACAATTCCTGGAAGCTGAAAGTGTCCCAGTTCTTCCATGGCCTGCACACTCACAAGACATGTCACCCATTGAGCATGTTTGGGATGCTCTGGATCGACGTGTACGACAGCGTGTTCCAGTTCCCGCCAATATCCAGCAACTTTGCACATCCATTGAAGAGAAGTGGTACAACATTCCACAGGCCACAATCAACAGCCTGATCAACTCGCAGGACATGAGAAGGAGATGTGTCGCGCTGCATGTGGCAAATGGTGGTCACACCAGATACTGACAGTTTTTTGTTGTTGTTGTGACCAACAGATGCATATCTGTATTCCCAGTCATGTGAAATCCATAGATTAGGGCCTAGTTAATTTCTTTCAATTTACTGATTTCCTTATATGAACTGTAACTAGGTCAAATCTATGAAATTGTTGCATGTTGCGTTAATATTTTTGTTCAGTGTATATATGACAAACTTTGGAATACTGTTTACACCAGACAACTACTATAAATATAAGCTTTTATAAATTAATACAATAAAGCCTGAATTTATTCACACAAGTACACTGAACTTTTTCTCTTGAGCTGTTTTTACAATGAGAGGAATGATTAATAACCACCTATATATACTTTGGCATGTTGGAATAAAACAAAAAAATCGAATAAAGTATTCCAATAACAGTAACTAGTTTTGTTGTCAAAATCTATTTTAACCTGGCTTCATATTTGACTAACAATTCAGCATTCACAGCAGGATAACCACACATATTGTAACAAACTGGTGTGTTGGAGAAACTCACCGTGAACCGCTCTCATATTATCCCTGCAGCAGCCTGTAGAGGGGGCTTGTATACCATAGATCTGGGAGCTACAGTATCCAAACGTTATACTTTAAATTACATGATGTGTTTATCTAAATAAATTACACAATTATTTAGTAACATTGCTATGGATAGATTGCTTTAATATTAGTAAGTAACTGAAAAAAATTATTCTGTCTTTTGAAATGTTTACTCTCATTTTAACAAACGACTGGATGGAAAATGAAAGTGTTCTCATATCTACAACTGACTCTCCAGTATACTTTCCTGGTGCCAGCAGTCAGGTAAGAGGCTCTAGTGAGTTAATACCTCAAATGTTTTATTAATAAGTGTTTTCTGTTGTAAAAAAGTAGGCATGTAATGCAAATCTAACAGTGGATTCTTTTATGTGTCCGTTACATTTTTCCATTGTATATTTTGACCATACCTTTAGTCTTGACATTGAACTAAAACACATTGCATCACTTCTATTAGTTTCTATGCCTCAATTGCCATGAATGTAAACCCAATATTTGATTGTATTTTATTTTTATTAGCAAACATTACTCAGATGGGACTGTGAATTAAAAACAAACCAATGGTATAATGCGATTGGATATATTTGGTTATGACTTGGCAAATGCAATGATTAACAGCACAGGGTTTGTTTCCCTGACAGGTGCATCATGGAATCTTTGATTCACAAAGTCTGTTTGCTAACTTTCCTCATCATCTTCGATGCCACTTCATCTGTTGCAGGTAATACATATGACAAGTATATGCTATATTAGTCCAGACATATAGTCCCAGTCAAAAGTTTGGACACACCTATTTATTCCAGGGTTTTTCTTTATTTTTACTATTTTCTACATTGTAGAATAATAGTGAAGACATCAAAACTATGAAATAACACATTTGGAATCATGTAGTAACCAAAAAAGTGTTAAACAAATCAAAATATATTTGATATTCTTCAAATAGCCACTCTTTGCCTTGATGACAGCTCTGCACACTCTTGGCATTATAATATAATAATAATATGCCATTTAGCAGACACTTTTATCCAAAGCGACTTACAGTCATGCGTGCATACATTTTTTGTGTATGGGTGGTCCCGGGGATCGAACCCACTACCTTGGCGTTACAAGCGCCGTGCTCTACCAGCTGAGCTACAGAGGACCTCTCAACCAGCTTCATGAGGTAGTAACCTGGAATGCATTTCAATTAACAGGTGTGCCTTCTTAAAAGTTAATTTGTGGAATTTATTTCCTTCTTAATGCGTTTTAGCCAATCAGTTGTGATGTGACAAGGTAGGGGGGGTATACAGAAGGTAACTCTATTTGGTAAAAGACCAAGTCCATATTGTGGCAAGAACAGCTCAAATAAGCAAAGAGAAACGACAGTCCATCATTACTTTAAGACATGAAGGTCAGACAATACGGAACATTTCAATAACTTTTAAAGTTTCTTCAAGTGCAGTTGCAAAAACCATCAAGCGCTATGATGAAACTGGCTCTCAGGAGGACCACCACAGGAATGGAAGACCCAGAGTTACCTCTGCTGCAGAGGATAAGTTCATTAGAGGTACCAACCTCAGAAATCGCAGCCCAAATTAATGCTTCACAGAGTTCTAGTGACAGACACATCCCAACATCAACTGTTCAGAGTTGACTGTGTGAATCAGGCCTGCATGGTCGAATTGCTGCAAAGAAACCACTACTAAAGGACACCAATGAGAAGAAGAGACCTGCTTGGGCCAAGGAAACACTAGCAATGGACATTAGACCGGTGGAAATGTGTCCTTTGGTCTGGAGTCCAAATTGGAAATGTTTGATTCCAACTGCCGTGTCTTTGTGAGACACGGTGTGGGTGAACAGATGATCTCTGCATGTGTATTTCCCACCATAAAGCATGGAGGAGGAGGTGTTATGGTGTCGGGGTGTTTTACTGGTGACACAGTGATTTATTTAGAATTCAAGACACACTTAACTAGCATTGGCTACCACAGCATTCTACAGCAATACGCCATCCCATCTGGTTTGGGTTTAGTGGGACTTTCATTTGTTTTTCCACAGGACAATGACCCAACACACCTCCAGGCTGTGTAAGGGCAATTTTACCAAGAAGAGAGTGATGGAGTGCTGCATCAGATGACCTGGCATCCACAATCCCCTGACCTCAACCCAATTGAGATGGTTTGGGATGAGTAGGAAGGCAGAGTGAAGGAAAAGCAGCCAACAGGTGCTCAGTATATGTGGGAACTCCTTCAAGACGGTTGTAAAAGCATTCCAGGTCGAACTGGTTGAGAAAATGCCAAGAGCGTGCAAAGCTGTCATCAAGGCAAAGGGTGGCTACTTTGAAGAATCTCAAATATAAAATATATTTTGATTTGTTTTAACACTTTTTTGTTTACTACATGATTCCATTTGTGCTATTTCATAGTTTTGATCTCTTCACTATTATTTTACAATGTAAAAATATTAAAATAAAGAAAAACCCTTGAATGAGTAGGTGTCCAAACTTTTGACCAGTAGTGTATGTATACATGTTTTTTTTTTCCCACAAATGCATGAAAGTTGGTACCCTTGTAGTACATTTGGGGCCCTGAACATTGTCAGAAAGGGAGCTTTTGCAAAATCACCTCCTCACGGCTGTGGCAGCCATTTTGCTATTCCTGCCATAGCCGGACAATGTATCCTCCTTCATATCTGCTGAACTAAAGTCAGAAAAGGTGATGTCTACACCTATGTTTGATGATGACAATGGTGCCAACTGCAACATAATGAGAAGTTCAGATTATTATGCAAAGTTGAACTTGGGTAAACCATTGAAAATAAATCAAATTAGTTAGCTGTTTCTGACAACATACACAGTATAACATTATGTCTGTTGTTGATTTGTAAATTGGATAAAAAGTTTTTTCTTTACATAATGCTTGAAAGTGAAGCTTAGTTTGGGGTTTCATAGATGTTTATATTTTGGGGTTCCATGTGGCTCAGTTGGTAGACCATGGTGCTTGTAATGCCAGGGTTGTGGGTTTGATTCCCACAAGGGACAAGTATGGAAAATATGTAGTGATGTAAAAAATGTGAAAACAAAAAAATATGAAATTATCTGAATTCATTTGATATGGCCAAAAAGTATTATTTGATTGAAAAAAGGCCTAAAGTGGGGTCCAGAAATGTTGCATCTGTTAATAAAGATGAACAAAAAAGACTATTAAATAAATAATACAAATACTGTGCCTAAATTATATTTTATGCTAAATGTTTGAAGAATTATACACACTGAGTGTACAACACGTTAAGACTGACCAGATGAACTCAGGTGAAAGCTATGATCAATAGTTAAATCCACTTCAAAAAAGTGTAGATGAAGGAGAGGAAACAGGTTAAAGAAGGATTTTTAAGCCTTCAGACAATTGAGAAATGGATTGTGTATGTGTACCATTCAGAGGGTGAATGGGCAAGACAAAAGATTTAAGTGCATTTGAACAGGCTATGGTAGTGACAGGCGCACCGGTTTGTGTCAAGAACTGCAACGCTGCTGGGTTTTTCACGCTCAACAGTTTCCTGTGTGTATCAAGAATGGTGCACCACCCAAAGGACATCCAGCCAACTTGATACAACTGTGGGAAGCAACTTGATACAACTGTGGGAAGCATGGGAGTCAACATGGGCCAGCATCCCCGTGGAATGCTTTCGACACCTTGTAGAGTCCATGCCCCGACGAATTGAGGCTGTTATTGGATCCCCTGTTTTCAATACTCTGGCACCCTCCCCTCGGGAGGATAATGCCACTGAGCCTTTTGTAAGATGTTCTATGAGATTGGAGAACACATTGGGAGGAAACTTAGACCATTCCTCCATAAAGAGTCTTTCCAGATCCATGGTTCACACAGTGCTTTTAACATAGTGTTTTCAACGTACATATTTTACACACATTGTATATGTTTATTTATACAGTAATTATGAATTTTGTCCTCACCTGGGATTTGAACTCACAATCTTTTGGTTAACATTCATTCCGACCTTCCTGCTACGCCACCATGTCTGTGTTCAAAACTGATTTCCCGTGTATTCCTACACTTTGGACTTCAAAGTGATTGTCAGCTTTGTTAAAAATACACTCTACAAAAACGATTATATTTATCATAGTGATTCAGGAGTAACATTGAAACAGAATAATATGCCCCACCAACATTAGGCAACCATACAGGAAACCCTCATTAGCCTGCTGAGACCCAGCAATTCATTTTTGTCTTATCTAGTAGACTTCAGTTATTGGTCCGTATCTCTGAGACCATAAAAGCCACTGTATTAAGTCCTGTTGTCCCTTTGGGAGGACATTCTGGGCTTTTCAATGATATCACATGCGTGGTGTGACCGTGACAACTTTATCTTCCTGGTTCTTAAAAAAAATGGCTTCTGGGCCACAGACTTTACATTTTTGGACTTTGATCAAAGCTGCTCAGAATCAAGTTAATAATTGTCCAATTATCGGCAACAACGTAACATCAACAGAAAACTAGCAGTGCTCAAGGACACTTGACATAGAGTAATAATAATAATGTTCTGAGAACGTCCTGAAAACGTTCTTGGGGGCATCCCTGGAACAAACCTGGAACTGATTCAATCAAATTAATGTCAGATACTGTATGCCTTTTAAAGCAAAATATTCTCAATGACATTTGACACCTGGGTGTTCACATGTGCAAAACATTTTTCATGTGTATTTTCATGGTTTCACATTTATTTCACATTTATTTCAAATTAGATCACGTTGTTACATGTACTCACGTTGTCACATGTAGTTTCATGTTATCACATGTTGCTTCACATGTTGTCACATGTTATAATATTAACGTTATCACACGAGATCACATGTTGACATGTGAAATTCATTTGGTTATTTTGATAAGGGATCCTTTGTCTGCTATCTTCAATTCAAACCACAGGTTTTCAATGGGATTCATCAAGCCAAAACTGCTCCAGCTCCTTCAAGTTGGATGGGTTCCGCTGGTGTACAGAAATCTTTAATTGGATTGAGGTCTGGGCTTTGACTAGGCCATTCCAAGATATTTAAATGTTTCCCCTTAAACCACTCAAGTGTTGCTTTAGCAGCATGCTAAGGGTCATTGTCCTGCTAGAAGGTGAACCTGCGTCCCAGTCTCAAATGTAAATCTCTTGAAGACTGAAACAGGTTTCCCTCAAGAATTTCCCTGTATTTAGCGCCATCCATCATTCCTTCAATTCTTACCAGTTACCCAGTCCCTGCCGATGAAAACCATCCCCACAGCATGATGCTGCCACCACCATGCTTCACTGTGGGGATGGTGTTCTCGGGGTGATGAGAGGTGTTGGGTTTGCGCCAGACATAGCGTTTTCCTTGATGGCCAAAAAGCTCAATTTTAGTATCATCTGACCAGAGTACCTTCTTCCATATGTTTGGGGAGTCTCCCACATACCTTTTGGCGAACACCAAACGTGTTTGCTTATTTTTACTTTAAGCAATGGCTTTTTTTCTTTTAAAGCCCAGCTCTGTGGAGTGTACTGCTTAAAGTGGTCCTTTGGACAGATACTCCAATCTCCGCTGTGGAGCTTTGCAGCTCCTTCAGGGTTATCTTTGGACTCTTTGTTGCCTCTCTGATTAATGCACTCCTCGCCTGGTCCGTGAGTTTTAGTGGGCGGCCCTCTCTTGGCAGGTTTGTTGTGGTGCCATATTCTTTCCATTTTTTAGTAATGGATTTAATGGTGCTCCGTGGGATGTTCAAAGTTTCCGATATTCTTAGAATTTTTTGAAACAAGTTATGTTTTTCATTTCACTTCACCAATTTGGACTATTTTGTCTATGTCCCTTACATGAAATCCAAATAAAAATCCATTTAAATTACAGGTTGTAATGCAACAAAATAGGAAAAACGCCAAGCGGGATGAATACTTTTGCAAGGCACTGTACCTATTCTGTGGACTTTGTTATAGATTTTCACCAAAGACCTCTATTTTCATATCATGTAGAGAAAATACTGTATGTATTACTTACTCTTTCTCTGAGCAAATGTATTAGTAGAAACCATTTTTTTTTTTGTATACAAATGACAGATTAAGGATCTTAATTAGAGCCAGTTTACTACAGCAGGAAAACAGTATCCTGCAGCAAATGGAAATATGAATATTGTGTGGATTATAATTCATGAAAAGTTTTGTAGGGGTTGATTAAAAAAATATGTTAGGGCAAATTAAGTCTGAAACTTCAAAGTGGAAATTACAAACGTTAGAAGCATTTTAAAAGTTTGAGTGATCAAATTAAGGTCCTACATCTGTAGATCAGTATTTGTATTATTTATCTTTCTACTAATCTTTATCATCTTTATTGGGGCTCTGCTGGTTTAGCACTGTTAAAAGGGAACTGGGAAGGTGTAACTGTCTTTGTGCTCAATATGAGCTGCTATTATCTGTCTGAACTTCACACCCCATACTTTATACCCTCTGTAACACCTTCTCCTTTCCTCCTCTCTCCCTCCAGACCTCAGCCTCATAGTCCCTCCTGACGTTGTAGTTGCCTCTGCTGGTGATGACATCATCCTTCCCTGTCATCTCTCTCCTCAAAGTAGTGCTGTTGCCATGGATATCAGGTGGTTTAAGGACGGAGAATTCACTAACCCCCTGTATTTGTATAAGAGCGGAATGGGGGAAGACGGGAAGAGCTATAAGGGCAGAGTGAGTCTATTCTACCAGGAGCTGGAGAGAGGCAACATATCACTGCTGTTGAAGAATGTCAAGGTGTCAGATAGCGGACGCTATAAATGTCAGGCCAGCCACTTGGATTGGATCCAGGAACCAGCCGTTGTGCTACAAGTTACAAGTAAGATAAGCTTATCAAGACCCTAACAGGTGTCCAATTGTCAATGGTGATAACGTCAATTTCAACCGTAAAATAACATATTTCTGAGCAGAGCAGGGCAGTGTCCCCAGGATCTCCATGAGGAAGCACCACAGAGTGTTCATCCAGCTCAGCTGCAGCTCAGAGAACTGGTACCCAGAGCCTCACATGCTGTGGACGGACCTCAGTGGGAAGGAGATCACCTCAGCAGAGACAGAGATACCCAAACAGAAGGTGGGGGGCGACCTGTACTCCATCACCAGTCACATGAGAATAGCGGTGGACCAACTGGAGGGGTCACATGTGTGGTGATGTCACAGGACCAGGGAACCAAGATGGAGTCTGCACTGCAGATGACTGGTGAGTTTAGGCACTGCAATGTACGGCCAACTAGCCAAAAACAAGTGTAAAAAATGCAAGCTACTGTAGATGTGACTGATGACCGACCTTGACTTTGGTTCCATTTTTATGATATAGACGCACTGATGTGTACAGGGTTTTCTCTTAATTTTTTTAGGGCCATTGCCAGGTAGAATTAGAACCATACCCATGGGAACAACTGGGTCCAAGGTGAACTGAGCCTCAGTCAGATGTTAAAGTGATATATCACTCATATCACTGCAGACCTCAAAATTGGTCTATTATCAAAATGAGTCAATCATTCCAGGCCATCTGTTATGTAGATTTAGGTATATGTCACAATACCAAATTATTGAGAAAAAATATGCATTGCCTAATTCCATTATTGCAGACTGTGGGTGAAGCAGCGTCGTAGGCCGAGGTGTCCTAGGACATGGAGTTACCACAGCATTAGACCACCTTTGAGTTCTGAAAACGTTTGACAAACTTTTATTTTAGAGTGAAGTACCTACAGTAATTAACGTCTGTAGAAACCCGGCAAGTATAAACCAGAAACATGAAGCATGATTCATAAACTAGGGAACATCACCAGGGGGACAAAAATGTTTCTAAAACACAGTCATCAATCATGATCCAGTATATACACTGAACAGGAATATACATGCAAGTTTCATGAGCTGAAATAAAAGATCCCAGAAATGTTCCATGCGCACAAAAAGCTTGTTTCTCTCAAATTCTGTGCACAAATCTGTTTACATCGCTGTTTGTAGGCATTATTTCATTTGACTGAATTCCTCATATGAACTGTAACTCAGTAAAATATTTGAAATTTTTGCATGTCGCATTTATATTTTTGACCAGGATAGTTGGATAATGTTACACTAGGGTATTTTTGATATTTTTTAACCTTACAGATTTAGGATTCTATCTTGTTACAGAGGAGTTCTACCTCAGCAGGCTCCCTGACCGCGTCTACATCTCTGCATTTGTGATTCCTGTGTTTCTGGCACTGGGTGTGTATCACTGCATCTGTGCTCTTTGTCATGCATCAGAAAAGAGGTTGGTCTCTCGTTCTATTTTAATAAGAACACATTTTGTGTTTTTTGCGAACATCTCTATTAACGTGATGTTTTTCAAAGGGTTTCACCGATCATTTAATTGAAGAGATATGTTTTTTACTTCCAGATATTCAGGAGAAACTGAAGCCTATTAGTAAGATAAAATATGTATACTTTCATTAACTGACTTCTGTAACATATCAATAATTAATTTAATGAAATAACAGATTTGTAGTATTCAAAATCCTAAAGTTTTACAGAATGTTTTTTCTTCTTTATTCTTCAGAGGAAGTCAAAGCAGAACTAGAAGAGAAGAAGAAAGGTATCTCACATCCTCAATATTAATATATGAAGTATTATGTTTGATTTCACTCAATCTTTGTATGGTTTAATATGGATTTTCTCAGAAAGATTAACGATATTCCTCTTCCAGAACTAACCAAAATGGATAAGTTATTGGGTATGTATAACATGCTATACAGTCGATTTAACATTATTTAGTTCATTAATATCAAATACAGAATGATGCACAGTAACAAAGTCATTTTGTATCCATACAGGAATAACTGGGAAAATTCCAGACACCGGTAATCATATGCTCCTTTTCCAAGTCAATGTGAAATAATTTTATTATACCCCATTATATACCATATAGTTTTGTTCATGAGAGGAGACCCATTATGTAACACATGAATTACCTTTTTCTATACAGTTTGGACCTTAATGGTGTATCATCATGCAGGTAACACACACACACGCACACACACACACACACACACACAATGTATTTGAAGGACAACTTACATATTACTTTTGGACAAATGTCTAGCATAGTTTCATTTCAACAGTCAAGTGTTATATCTTTCTTCAACAGTCAAGTGTTATAGCTTTCTTCAACAGTCAAACGTTTCTTTCTTTCAGTGGATGTGACTCTGGACCGTGACACTGCACATCCCAGACTAACTGTATTTGATGATAATAAATCTGTTAAGATTGGAGACCTACGTAGAGAAAAAGTGGCACTGAGAAGAGGTTTGAGGAAAAGCAGTGTGTCTTGGGAATGAAGGGATATGATACAGGTACACATTACTGGGAGGTTGACCTGGGGAAGAAGACTCAGTGGAGTGTTGGAGTCACACAGGACCCAGAGAAGAGAGGTTCAAACATCCAAATGATTCCAGAGAATGGCTACTGGAGCATACGTTTGGAAAATGGAGTATTGAAAACAGTTGAAAAGTCTTCAAATGTCCTTCCCATTGAACTGAAACCTGTGAAGCTGGGGGTGTTAGTGGACTATAAGGGGGGAAAGATAGTATTTTTCAACGTTGAGAAGAAATGCCACATCCACTCCTTCCTTGAAACATTTACTAAGAAACTCTATCCGTTATTTGGTCCTTTGATTGATTGTAAAGAGGAACTCAAAATCTCACCTGACCCCCTCAAGCTGAGAAGTGAACCTGTAAAAGATAGCAGTTGTCAGGCAAGGCCATAGCATTGTTTGTTCAGTCTTTGGTTACTACTGCCTGTGCCTGTGGTATTATTAGTACTCTAATACCCCACATCTCTCTGTGGTTTTATTAGGACTCTAATACCCCACAACTCTCTGTGGTTTTATTAGTACTCTAAAACCCCACAACTCTCTGTGGTTTTATTTGACCATGGGGAAAATAACTGATACGTAGAGTGCAATGCGGATTATCTTCCATTGTTTGAGCAATTATTTAGCTTTAGCAATTATTAACTTTGTTAAGACTGAGTTACTTCAATCTTTTACTTATTTTATCCCACACAAATTCATCTGAGCGATGTGAGATGGAACATTTCCACCTTTTTTATGGCAGTACTGTTTTCTGATGTTTTAGATGTAACTGTAAAAGTCTACTAAAATCTCTGTTTTGACTCTGGATATACTCATTACTGTAACATGAGACAATATCATTTGTTGGAATGATGTATGGACTAATGTATTCTGTTTTGTCATATTCATTTGTCATATTAATGTTTTGTTATGTTCATATTGTATAGTGATAGTTCTTTTAAAAACAAATCATAGAATCACTTTATATCCCAGACTGATTGAACTAAAATGTTGGTAGAAATATCTGTAATGACAATATGGTGAAACTAGATGTTACACTGGACAACTAACTACAGGCTTCACTGGGCCGATGTATTATGTCAAGTCTCTGGCTAACTAGCTTGCATTCTTAGTCATTGTCAAGATAATCATGGTTGTGTGTAATGGATGGTTATTAAATTTGTCAAAACAACTACATACAAGCCAGTAGGTGCTCGTTGTTTCTCTCAATCATAGTCATCAATAGATCTACATCCAGATACCAAATAAGAAATGAGATTTTTCACAAATCAACATTTAATATTTTTAAAATAGAAATGCTTGTTTAATGTCACAAGCAAAAAACTACTTAAATAATGAATGTATAATACATTAATAAATAATCTAGAACACAACTTTGATGCCTGGTTCGATGACCGCAAAGGATTATAGAAATGAATCCATAATTCTGAAAATTACTTATTTGAACATTATTCACATTATAATTGTACATGATATACTCAGTATTCAAGAAAAAACATGTTTGATTGTGTGTGCGTGTGCGTGTGTGTGTGAGAGTTAGGCTACATGGAGGTGATTATTGGGTAGTTTGGTTTATCAGGCTGACACAGTATTCACTTGAAGTTATTGAGGGATGATGAGGTTTTGGCAATGTGAAGATAAGAATTCCAGAGTATGGTACCTCTGTATCTGATAGAAAATGTAACTATGTGAGGTGCGGCAGTGGGAGGGTGAAGGTTATCGCAGTGTCTTGTGTAATATAGATGGATTTCAGAATTAACCTGGAAGAATCCAATTGAAGGGTTTAGGTCAACTGTCTGGGAGGTAGGAGTATTTGTAGATGAAAGTACATAATTGGTAGAAGGTGGCGATGGGGTGAGGTTGTGTTTCTCTAAGCGGGAGGTAAGCTTGGCTTCTTCTTTATGTGGTGTCGAGTAAAGCTTAAACCACGTATTTAGATTGTAGGTAGGTATTGTAGTTAGTTATTGTAGGTAGTTTATCTAGGTAGTTATTGTAGGTAATTATTGTAGGTAAGTATTGTATTCGGCTGAGCCCTGTGAAGCACGAGGCTAGCTAACCCACTACCTGGACCAATAAACCTAGTTAGCTAGCGGGTAGCTACAGGTAACTATTAGCAACTGTGGATAGTTGTTTCCAATGTTATTTCATGCGTAAGAGTACCTGTAATTATGCAAGCCAGCTACCTACCATTCAGCTGTTTATCTAACATCAATATATGAAGCGTTAACATTAGGTAGTTAGTAGCTACTGTACTCGAAATGTAGCTAGCTTGTTGCTACCTGGATAGCTAACTAAACAATAGCTGGAACGACCTAGCTGTAACGTTTGGAGATGTAACGTTTGGAGCTGTGAATACTGTACCAAGCTAGCTAGCTGAATACACTAAGTTAGAGTCTATTCCTAGAAAACATAGAACCGCTCTAGCATAATAATAAGTTATAATTTCTAAAATGGAAGTTTGGAGAATTATATTTGAGTGTTTCAGTGAAACGTAAGTGAGGGAGGCCCCGCTCTCTCGCTTTCCCAGATGTTTAGTTAATTTCATTCCGATCTCCTTTGCATTATTGTAGCCTTTTCTGTAGCCTGTCAACTATGTGTCTGTCTATCCCTGTTCTATCCTCTCACCACAGGCCATACAAACACTTCACACCGCGTGGCTGCTGCCACTCTAATCTGGTGGTCCCTGCACGCACAACCCACATGGAGTTCCAGGTCTCCGGCAGCCTCTGGAACTGCCATTCTGCGGCCAACAAGGCAGAGTTCATCTCTGCCTATGCTACCCTCCAGTCCCTCGACTTCTTGGCGCTGACGGAAACATGGATTACCACAGAAAACACTGCTGCTCCTGCTGCTCTTTCCTCGTCTGATCATGTGTGATCTCGCATACCCCGAGAGCATCTGGTCAGCGCGGCGGTGGCACAGGAATCCTCATCTCTCCCAAGTGGACTTTCTCTCTTTTCCCCCTGACCCATCTGTCTATCTCCTCATTTGAATTCCATGCTGTTACAGTCACTAGCCCATTCAAGCTTAACATCCTTATCATTTATCGCCCTCCAGGTTCCCTTGGAGAGTTCATCAATGAGCTTGACGCCTTGATAAGCTCCTTTCCTGAGGATGGCTCACCCCTCACAGTTCTGGGTGACTTTAACCTCCCTACGTCTGCCTTTGACTCATTTCTCTCTGCCTCCTTCTTTCCACTCCTTTCCTCTTTTGACCTCACCCTCTCACCATCCCCCCTACTCACAAGGCAGGCAATACGCTTGATCTCATCTTTACTAGATGCTGTTCTTCTTCTAATCTCACTGTAACTCCCCTCCAAGTCTCCGACCACTACTTTGTATCCTTTTCTCTCTCTCCTCCAACACTACTCACTCTGCCCCTACTCAGATGGTAATGTGCCGTCGCAACCTTCGCTCTCTCTCCCGCTACTCTCTCCTCTTCCATCCTATCATCTCTTCCCTCTGCTAAATCCTTCTCCCTCCGATCTCCTGATTCTGCCTCCTCGACCCTCCTCTCCTCCCTTTCTGCATCTTTTGACTCTCTATGTCCCCTATCCTCCCGGCCGGCTCGGTCCTCCCCTCCTGCTCCGTGGCTTGATGACTCATTGCGAGCTCACAGAACAGGGCTCCGGGCAGCCGAGTGGAAATGGAGGAAAATTAGACTCCAAAATTAGACCCAAAAGAGCGCTGACGACATCGTGCAGTGTAATGTCCTCCGCTCTCCTGCGCAGTCCTCATCCCCTGCCTCAGGTGGACCAGCCACTCACCCGTCTCTCGACCCTCGGGCGGGTGATCGAAGACAGCCCGAAAGAGGCGAGCGAACTCCCCGTATTTGTCCAACGCGGCTCATCCTTTGTTCCAGACCACGTTGGCCCACTCCAGGGATTTCCCTGAGAGGCAGGAGACGAAGGCGGACACCTTCTCCCGCTCCGTTGGGGCCGGGCTGATGCTGGAATAATAGAGCTCTAGTTGGAGGAGGAATACCTGGCGGAGAGCAGCCGTCCCGTCGAACTCCCGTGGTCGGGATATATGGATCCATCTGGGTGCTGGGGTGTGGGTGACTGGATCCGGTCGCCCAGCTGGTCTTGACAGATCGGGTTCTCTCCTCTCCTGGCGTTGGACGACTTGGAGAACCTTATCCATCGCTTCTCCCAAGCTGGCTAGCATTGTTGAATGCTCCTTGACCCGTTCCACGACTCCAGGCATGCACTCCTCTCCCGCTGACTCCATAGCGGGTGGGTGATTCTGTGATGCATGATTTGAAGGTTTCAGGCGAAGGAGGGTAAATCACAGTATACAGACTTTATTCTCTAATACAGCGTAACCACTCTAGTGTGCAAAACAGGCG